CCTCTCTCTGTGGTTGGGTGACCCCTGACGTCCAGCCCCCTCTCTCTGTGCCTGTGTGTCCATATGCAGATCAAGATCGTAGCAGCAGCCTGGTGGTGGCGCTGTCGGTCTCCTTCCTGCTCCTGTTCGTCCTGTCGCTGGGGATCTTCTGCCTGGCCTGGAGGTTCCTGATCCGCCGCCGGTGCCGCCGGTTACCACCCCTGGACGACCCGGACGACGTCAAGGAGAAGGTGCCCTGCGGAGGGGATGGCACCTATGGGGTAAGAGCCGCCGGCCGCCAGTCGCCCAGCGCCCCCAGAGCCTGAACACACAGAGCACACTGAGAGTCTGAACAGACAGAGGACACTGAGAGCCTGAACACACAGAGCACACTGAGAGCCTGAACACACACCACCTGAGCACATTGAGATTCTGAACACACAGAGCACACTGAGAGCCTGAACACACACAGCCTGAGCACATTGAGATTCTGAACACACTGTATTTAATACTGGGGTTCTGGAGCCTCGTTAAGGGGAGAGGAGCTGTATTTAATACTGGGGTCTGGAGCCTCGTTAAGGGGAGAGGAGCTGTATTTAATACTGGGGTCTGGAGCCTCGTTAAGGGCAGAGGAGCTGTATTTAATACTGGGGTCAATACCGTAGTTAACAGAAATGTTTCCCCAATTCTGGGCGACAGAATGACAGGGAGGCAGTTTGTGCTTCCACCTCACAGCTCTTGGGTCCTGGTTTTGATTACACTGTGGATCACCTTCTGTGGGGTGTTTGCATGTTCTTCCCAGGTCTGTTGTGGTTTCCTCCCACCTTCCAGAGAGACACTGGTCAGGGGAGCTGAGCATGTGAGAGCCCTGCAGTGCTCTGGTCTTCACTCGCTCTGTGTTCCCAGGACACCAGGGTCACCATGGTGGACCACGTTCTGACAGTGGATGAAAGCCACTGAAAGCAGACTGCGGGGCAGGTTCTGATGTGCCCGTGTCTCTGTTCACAGGACATGTTCGACGAGTTCTGCACCTCAGGCAGCGGCACGGGTCTGCCCTACCTGGTCCAGCGCACAGTGGCACGCCAGATCTCCCTGGTGGAGTGCGTGGGTGAGTCCTGGTCCTGGGGGGGTCAGTGTGTCTGCAGGGTGTCCAGTCCCGGTCCTGGGGGGGGG